CCTGAGCTACATACTAAGCCCCAGACCAGCCTGGGTTACAAGGGAAAACCCTGTCTCAAATCTTCCCTACAGCTGTAGTGTTTTCTCTTTCTTTTTATATTCTGATAGCCCTTAGATCTATATAGAATTATTTCAAAAGTAAACCAGTAATTCAAGGCTAAAAAAATGGCACTGACTGATTTCAGACTTATGAGTTTAATGTTACAGGTTGGTCTTATTTATAGCATGACACCAGCTAAATTCTTATAGCTATAACTTAAAATTCTTACAATTTTGATACACATGTTTGAGCTATTTTTTATTGGTGGTAGTGGTGGTAAACTCACAGCCTTGCGCTCTGTCACTTAAGCCAAGACTCTAGCTCTTTTTGCTTTGGGGTATTTTTCAGATAGGGCTTTGCATTTTTGCCCAAGTCTGGCCTCCTTTCTATAGCCTTCGTAGCTCAGATTGCAGTTACCTGCCACCACAACCAGCTTACTAGTAGAGATGGGGTCTTGCCAACATTTTGCTGGGACTGGTCTGGAACCATGATCCTCCTGATCTCAGCTTCTAGTAACTGGGATTATGTTTGAGTTATTTCAATCTACGGATTATTCTAGCAGGTTTACTTAGCAGCTCTAAAACAAACTAGATGAAGATCCACAAATGCCTACCTTGATTCTAACATGACTGGTTGAAAAAAGTTTGCCAGATATTTTTCATATATCACCAAATACATGTAATGCTAATCTTCAAAGAAAAATATGCAAAATAGTGTAGAATATACTTAAAGTGTAAAATATTTAGACTAAAATGGTTAATTCAAAGTTTTCACTTTCTAAAACTATCAGGCCCGAAAGTTAGAGCACAATGAAAGCTGTCCTGTCTTTATGACCTTATACAGTATAATTTTATGATAAATACAATGGTAGAAAAAGAATGTGTAACACAAATGCTAACTATCCCATATTAAAGATAGACAAAGCAGAAAAAAGCATCATCTATTAACTTAAATATGAAAAGCAAAACCCATACAACTTTCAGAAGAATATGGAGATGAACAGCCTTATGAATGAGATCAAGGCAGGGAAGGCTATACTAAAATTTCAAGTTTTTTCCTACCCAAAACATTTGATCTGAATCTAAACACAAGGAAACTATCAAATCCAAACTGAACAACATTTTATATAACTGGCCTAGACTCTTAAAATATATAAATATTAAGAAAACAAGCAAACAGCTGGAGAGTTGTAGCTTAAGAATAACTAACGGAGGGCTTTGGGGTATAGCTCAGTGGTAGAATTTGAAGCCCTGGGTTTAATCCCTGACACAGCAAAAAAACAAAAACAGGGCTAGCAGAGTAGATCAAGAGGTAGATTGTGGGAAAGAGGGGGTGACCCAAAAAATGTATACACATGTAAGTGTATGTAAAAACAATTTAAAAAAAAACAAAGATAGAGTGCCTGCCTAATGAGTATGAGTCCTGAGTTCAAACCCAGTACCACATAAAAGTAAACAAAAATAAATTATTAAAGGGACATGGCAACTAAATGCAATTCATGATCCTTAATTAAATCTTAAAACAGGAGTCTGGCATGGTGGCACACACCTGCAGTCACAATCTACTTGAGAAGCTAAGGCAGTAGGATTCCTTGAGTACAGGAGCTGAAGGCTAATCTGGTCAATAGAGTAAGACCCTGTCTCAAAACAAAGGGAAAGAAAAAAATAAAATCCTGTATCAGGGCAGAGGATTAGAGTGCTGGTGGAATGTCTCAAATAGTAACACACCTGCTTACCTACCTAGCACAAAGTCCTGAATTTAAACCAGTACCAATGAGAGAGAGAGAGAGAGAAAGACAGAGAGAGAGAGAATGGATGAGCTATAAAGATCATTGCTATTGGACTTTGATCACATGATAAAGCGAGAGCACACAAGGGAGATATGAGGATAGGTAAGACACCCAAAAAACTAGATAGCATTTGTTGCCCTCAACGCAGAGAAACTAATGCAGATACTTTTAAAGCAACTGAGGACAATAGGAGAAGGGGACCAGAAACTAGAGAAAAGGTTAGATCAAGAAGAATTAACCTAGAAGATAACACACATGTACAGGAAAGTAATGTGAGTCAACTCCCTGTATAGCTATCCTTATCTCAACCAGCAAAACCCTTGTCTTCCTATTACTGCTTATACTCTCTCTCAACAAAATTAGACATAAGGGCAAAATAGTTTCTGCCTGGTAGCAAGGGGCTGGGGGGTAAGGGAGGGGGTAGGGGAAGGGGGAAGAAATGACCCAAACATTGTATGCACATATGAATTTTAAAAAAAAGATCACTGCTGGGACAAATAAGTAATTTTTTGTTTTCATTTGTTTTGTTTACAGCACTGGGGGTCAAACACAGGGCCTCATGAATACCAGGCAAGCTTCTACCCATCGCCTCAAGCCCAAGAAATTTTCAGTGTGAACTGAGTATTAGATAGCGTTACAGCCATGTTAAAAGTGATGATTATATTGTAGTTTTGTAGGGCATCTTTGTTCTTAGGATATTCAAGTTAAACTGTTGAGAGAGTGAGGTGGCTCACACCCGCAATCTTAGCTACTAGAGATGTAGAGATGGGGGGATGGCTGTTTGAGGCTAGCCTGGGTAAAAAAAAAAAAAAAAAGTTTGTAAAACCCATCTCAACCAGTAAGTTAGATGTAGTAGAGCATGTCTGTCATGCCAGCTATGCAGGAAGAATGAATAGAGGAATACAGTACAGGCTGGCCTAGGAAAAACATGAGACCCTATTTGAAAAATAACTAAAACAAAAAGGGCTGAGAGTGTGGTTCAAGTGTGAGACCTAGCAAGTATGAGGCCCTGAGTTCAAACCTCAATGGGGTGGGGGGTGGGGGAGACAACACTTTTTTTTTAATTTTTATTTTTTTTATTATTCATATGTGCATACAATACTTGAGTCATTTCTCACCCTGCCCCCACCCCCTCCCTTATACCACCCCGCCCCCTCCCTCTACCCCCAACCCCCTCGACACCAGCAGAAACTATTTGCCTTATCTAATTTTGTTGAAGAGAGAGTATAAGCAATAATAGGAAGGAACAAGGGTTTTTGCTGGTTGAGATAAGGATAGCTATACAGGCATTGACTCACATTGATTTCCTGTGCGTGGGTGTTACCTTCTAGGTTAATTCATTGTGATTTAACCTTTCTCTAGTTCCTGGTCCCCTTCTCCTATTGGCCTCAGTTGCTTTTAAGGTATCTGCTTTAGTTTCTACAAAACCACTTTTGAAGAATGAAATGTCATGATGCCTGGTCCTAGAAAAAATGTATACATAAAAATATAAAGTAATGTGGCAAAATATTAACTGGTAAATCTGGGTGAAAGATGTAAAAGTATTTATTGAACTATCATTGTACTTTTCTGTAGAATTAAAATTTATAAAACAAAAAGCTGGAGGGCAGGCAGAGTGGCTCAAGAAGTAGAGGGCCTGCCTAGCAAGCACAAAGTCCTGAGTTCAACACCCTCTGGAATCACCAAAAAAATAGTTAGAATCAAAATGCAAAGCTTTTGCATGTGTAGCTCAAGAAGTAGAGTGCCTGCTTTGCAAGTTCAAAGCCAAGTTCAAACCCCAGTCCTACCAAAAAAAAAAAAAAAGTAAAGTAAAGCTGTTGCACAAGAAAAAATAATAGAAAACAGGACTCAAGTGGTAAACCACCTGCATAACAAGCACAAAAGTCCTGAGTTCAAATCCAGTACTGCAATAAAAAAAAATAAAAAAAAAATGAAAAGTCACACAACTGAGGAAGTATCTACACCACACAACTGGGCTATGAAGCAATGAGGGGAAAGCAAACAAGCCATCAGTGGAGGCACACACCTGGAATCCCAGCATTCAGTAGACTGTGGATAGCAAAGTTCAAGGCCAGCCTGAGAAAGCAAAGCCAACATAAAAATGAAGCATATAAAGAGGCATTCAAAAGAAAGGAAACATAACAAATGGATGCAAAGAAGCTCAACCTCATTAAACCAACCCATCACATTGGCAAAAATTTAAAAGTCTAAGAATACTAAATATCTGTGAGGAAATGGCAAAATGGAAACTTTCACAACCTGCCAGTGAGTATTTTATATTTAGTATTTTGAAAAATAATGTTATCTAAAAAGACTGAATATACTCAGACTACGACCTAATAATTCCATAGACTTAGAATTTTCCCACACATGGAGACAAAATGACATACCCAGGAATGTTTGGTACAGTAATGTTAATAGCAAAAACACCTAAATGCCCACAAACATTCCATATTCCATTATTCAAATGATGTATAACAGACACATCAAAATTAATATGTCAATTACAATGCTGAACAGGGACTGGAAGTGTAGTGCTGTGGAAGAGTACTTGCCTAGTACACATGAGGCCGTGGGTGATAAAGATGGTAGCTAGTAGATATATTAATCATCACTATGTTATTTTCTGTACATTTAAAATATTTTTAGAAAATTTTAAATTAAGGCATTAAAGAAACCACATCAACTAAACTAAGGAGGCATGGCTCAAGTAGCAGAGCTAACAGGTGTAAGGTCCTAAGTTCAAACACCAGTACCATCAAAAGAAAACAAAAACAAAAAATACATACTACTAAACATTTGAAATGGAAGCCTTCATAACCCCTAAGAAGCTTACTGTTTTTTAGACATTAAATTTCAGGTACCAAATTTCAGTCTTCTTTTCAAACAGATCCTGACAAGCAGGCGCTTTCAATGTACACTTGGTAATACGTCCTAGCCAGAAAGACACGCAAAACTTAAGAACAAATTTATCATGCTCCAACTCAATATAATCTTTCTAATTCTGTATTCAGCATAAAAAGGTATTTTTGCTGCCCTGATGGCAGTTTTGCTATTTTTATTGGTTTGTTGCTAAAGTTATTTTCCACAAACAGCCCCGTGCAAACTTTGGCAACCAATCATGATAGAATGTAATCAAATTTTAATCAGAAAAAGTCATGTAAGACTTACTGGGTCAAGTGACAAGAACCTTAGTATCCCATTAACAATTTGCTATCTACTTCCTTAGTGCAAATAACTTCCCGAGGTCTGAACCTAAAAATCAAACCAAACAAAAACACTTTAAAAAGTTATCTTACTTCATTCATTCTACTCTATCTTCGAGGAATCCCAGTAGCATATCTTGTATACAGCTTATTGGAACTTCCCTTTCCAGCTTTATCTCTTGCTACTGCTCTAGCAAACACTTTGGTTCTAGTGAAAGCAATCTATTCACTTTACCCTCAAATCTATCCACTTAAATCTTCTTCCTAGCCTCATGTCATCTTGTCTATGGTGTTTTCCCCAATCGCACCAACCTGCAGTATTTCTCCACTATGAAGCAAAAAATAGTGATAGCTAAGCTACTTTTATAGAGAATTTAATGTGTGCTACTATCACATCAATGGACTTGTTCTATTTAATCCACACAATCCTGTGAAAGTTGTTGTATTTTCCCACTTTTTCAAGGTGAGAGAAACTAAGTGAAGCTCTGTGGTTAAATTCTTCAAAGTTGTACAGATAGTAAGTGGCAAGCTAAGTCTTAAACCCAACAACAAAATCTAGGCCCTTAAACATATGTAATGCTGTCTCCTGGCTCAAACTACTGTCTTTACTGTTCATGTTACTTAACATATGCCTCATGATATTTAACATTTTGTGTTAGTAAATGTTATCTTAAAAGCTCAAAATATCACATCCATTCAACAAAAATTTACTGAAAACCTGTGTGCCAGGCATTGTTGACTACTGTGCATAAAGGCATGTTACAAAGCATCCACAAATGAAAATTAGAAGAATTATCTAGATATGTAAGCATCCCAGAAATGTCAAGTGTTAAATTCAAAATATGTGTACAACTGTCACTTTAAAAAATGTTTACATTAAATCTTAAAAGAGCACTGTCATAAATAACATGATAAACTTGTGAGGTTTTCTTACTATTTCACTGTTTTGGTTAGACAGTTAATCAACAAAAAGAATTAAAAAAAAAAACCCACCATTTTTGTGTATTCCTCTCTCCCTATACAACAGGAAGAACCTGCCTAGAAATATTAATGAACCCCCCTCCTCATGCCACTGTAATCTGGCTTTCTTTAGGAAGATGTGATGTATTCTAGTAAGGCTGGCAGGTACTGTAAGTAAAAACCTATATAAATTTTCCTGCAATTATAAACTTCTCGGAACTGCAGCTGATTATAAATTTTCACACAGTGGTTCCAAATCTTAGCACTGAATAGAACCTTGCAGAATATCTGTCTGTGCCCTTGTTACAGGTTAGCTGGTTATTACATTCTAAAACCTAAATTCTAGCTTAATGAGAGTTATGTAGCAACCTATATGCTGAAGTATAGTGTTTTATACCATAATAGAAATGCACTTCAGAAACAGTACTTTTGCGCTAGCAAAAAGCCCAGCTATCAACACACCCCCCACCACGCAAGCAAAAACCCCTCAAAGATTTGACTTGAACTACTAACTAGCTATGTCTTCTTGAACTGAATCTTGTCAAGTGCCTGGCTGTCTCATCTGGATAAATTCTGGAAAGGGCTGTGACTATTTGAAAGACCTTGAAGCTGTCTTTATATGAGTAATGGCGCTGTTTCAATATTCTCCCTCCATATTACTGTCAGCAGAGTTTGCATCCGTTGCCTTAAGAGGCAAAATAGTCTACAGATAGGAAACAAATAGGACTCTGTCCGCACCGGGCACGCGCACAGACGTGCTCTCGTGCACGCACACACACACAAGCCGAGAACCGAGACTAGTCATTTTAGAACCCTGCACTTAGGGCACAGCCCCAACAATGAAGACTGGGAAGATGAAAAGCAACCAGAAAAGCAAATAGGGTGCCCCGCTCTACACAACCAATTTTGCCTGAGCCAAACCCCCGCCACGTTATTCTTACTACGGGCCTCCCAGCTGCACCTCTCTCTCCCCGGCTTTCGGGAGGGAAGGGACCAGGAAAGGAAAGGGACAGACGTCCCCAAGACGGCTGACCGCGGCTAGGAGCTGTCTGGGAAGAAGCAAGTCTTTTTGCGACAGCGCCTTTGCAACTTGATGGGAGCTTTCAGGAAGTGCTGCACACCACAAAGCTGGTGTGCGGGACCATCAAGGTGGCAGTGTGCGGTGGAGTCGTGGAGAGAAGAGCTGCCAACCTTGCCCCGCACGGCAGAGGGCACGCCAGTCCCCCCCCCCCCCCTGGGTGGGCGCGGGAAGCGCAGGGGCGGGGAGGCTATGGACAGGAGCAGGAAGGAAGCCCGGGGGGGAAATTAGCGGAACTGAGTGAAAGTGCGGACCCGGCGCGCTTCGAGGCTGCGGCCCGCTCCCTGTGCAAGGCGGGGTCCCAGCGAGTCAACGCGGGCAAACAATGGCGCGAGCGTGACGTGGGCCGGGGCGTCGCCGCCGCACCGAGGAAGTGGCAGCGGTGGGGAGGGGGCAGCGGGGCAGGAGGCGTGCAGGGTCCGGGGCGCGAGGGTGGGTCTCGGCCTGAGGAGAGGGTCATGAGGAGAGGTGACGCGGAGCCTCGGGACAGGGGCAGACGGCGGGCGGCCCTCCGTGGGGTCGCGTGCTCCACTGCGCAACCGCCCTCCCACGCCGCCCGCTCCTTCCCCTCCCGCCCGTCCGCCCGTCCGCCCGCCGCCGCGGGTCCCGCCGCACTCACCGACCCAGCCGCACGGCAGCAATCCCAGCGCGCAACTGCCGCAGCCGCCTCGCCGCGCGCCCTCCCGCCCCGCCGCCCCGCCCGCACCGCCCCCAGCTCGCGCCCGGCCAGGGACCGGCGCGCTGTTGTGCCCCGGCTCCGCCGCACAACCCCGCGGCGGCGACGCTCCCCGGACGCGCTGTGGAAAGCTAGCGGAGGTCTCCACCCGCGCCTCTGGGTATCTTTTTCAGACCACAGGACACTCGTAGTTGCCGAGCTGTGAGTGACGCTCACTGATAACCCATCTCCTGTAGGTCTCTGCCCCTTGGTATTTTGATCGCACCCCTCAACTGGGTACCCCTCCATAGTAGGTGATTCTCCTTAGTCCCCCACGAGGCTTTCCCTGTCACGTACAGCATCCTTCTCGGTCACAGAATCTTCTAAGCAAATGAACCTCAGGGCCCCTCTGGCCCAGACCACTATAGCACGCTTTAAATGCCCTTGGTGACTAACAGCGCTGATTTGGAGTTTATCTGAATGGGGGCAAATAGCACAGTACACCACTTAACAGCTGGGTGACTTTGGACAAAGTCCCCACCCTCAATGAACTCAGATCCCTCATCTATAATGCAGGGATAGATGACAACATCGACAGGATGAAATAATATAGATGGGACCCTCAGCTCAGTTCTGCTCTAGGTAAATAGTAGTTCTATAATGACACCCCATCACCACTTCACCACAAGACACCTCAGAGACAAAGCCTACTACTTTCAGAGCACTGCAATATTTGTTCTGGCGGGAGCTCAGAACAGTGTTTTCAAAGTTCCATCCTCAGGACCCAAGTTCTAGCTCTTGAAACCTCAGAGAACAAACTGATTTAATCTCTATTGGACCTTGGGCAAGCCCAAAGTCTTCTATTCTTTGAGATCAGTATCTCCACACCTTCCTCGTTTCTTCTTTGCCTTCAGAAGTTGTCTTTCTTTTCATGCACCTAGTGGATTTGATTGTGACTCCTTTAGACTATGTCACCCAACACTGAACCAAATGTTTGTGGTACCATCAGAGTACCTGACTATAGACAGGCATGGTGGCTCATGCTTGTAATCCCAGCTACTCAAGAGGGGGAGATCAGAAGGATCATGATGAGAGGTCAGCCTGGGCAAAAACTAGTGAGAACTGCATCTCAACCAATAAAGTCAGCTGTGGCAGGGACCCTGTTATCCCACCCAGGCATGAGGCCTTAGGAGAACCATGGTCTGAGGCAGCTGAACAAAAGCATGAAACCCTACTGCAAACATAACTAAAGCAAAAAGAGCTGGGGCGGGAGGGGGCGTGCTCAAGTGGTAGAGTGTCTGCCTAGAAAGTGCAAGGCCCTGAGTTCAAATCGCAGTACCAAAAGAATAATAAAAATAAAAACATAAGCAGGACTATCGTTTTCTTTTCCTTGTAGGACTCACTGCCTTCCATTAGTGCAATAAAGTTCTTAGCACATGCTAGGTGTGGTGCTGCAACTATAGTCCTAGCTACTGGACAGGCTGAGCCAGGAGAATCCTTTGAGCACAGAATTTGAGGCCAGCCTGGGCAACCTGGGAAGAAAGAAAGGGAAGGAAGGGAGAGAAGGAAAGGGAAGGAAAGAAGAACAGATGGATGGAAGGAAGGAGGAAAGTGAGGGAAATAGAAAGAGAAAAACAAACGAAAGAAAAAAAAAAAGTTCTTGGCATCCACACTAAGTTGTACTGAGCTTGCCTGCAGTCAGCTAAAGCCATCAAGTCTTCTCAGTAAGTGCTCCACTCTAGCATTTCTACCCCCTTCCGTGTTTGTGAGCCAACTTCAGGTCAGCTCAGCAGAGGCCAGGCCTTGGTACTCTCACCTACCAGATGTTTCAGAATATGTGAGAAAAAGAAATGGACCAGTTTGAAGTTAGATTAACACCATTTTAAAGTCAAGTGCATTTAAAAAAGGCCAGGGTTTGTGTGTTAAGACTGGTACTAAGTGAATGCATGAGATCACATGCATTATGATCTCATCTGTGAAAAAAAAAGTGAGCATATACAAAAGACTAGAAGGAAATACGTAATGTGATACCTTAACAATGGTTTTCTCTCGGTGATAAGTCTTGAGGTGTTTTTTTCTTTGTATCCCTCTATTAATTCCCCACATTGTATTACTTTTATAATCAAGAACTTTGTTCCAAAAAAACCCAGAGAAATTGAATAACTCAAAAAAAGTTGAAAACAAAATTAAAAAATAACAGACTAGAAGAAAACATTTGCAGCACATAAAATAGGCAAATGACTTGCCTGGATCTATAAAGGATTTTTTTTTCTTTATTTTTTAATTTAATTTTATTTTATTCATATGCACATACAATGTTTGGGTCATTTCTCCCCCCCATAAAGAATTCTTAACACGAAGTCAGTAAGAAAAATTCAAGGCCAGGCACAGCGGCTCATACCTGTAATCTCACCTACTCAGGAGGTAGAGATAGGATCAAGGTTTGAGCCAAAAATCTAAACAACATCTCAACCACGAAGTAAGGTATGGTGGTTCACCCTTGTGATCCCCGCTATTCAGGAGGTCATAGGTAGAAGGATTACAGTCCTAGGCTGGCTAGGCAAAAACTTGAGAGCCTACCTGAGACATAACTCATGCAAAAAAGGGCTGGGGGTGTGCTCAAGGGGTAGAGCACCTGCCTAGCAAGCCCAAGACCCTGAGCTCAAGCCCAGTACTGCCAGAACAAACTAACAATCCAATAGAAAAATGGGTAAAGAAAATAAATAGTTCACAGAAAAGGAAATACAAACTGCCAATTAACACACAAAGAGATGCCCAATCCTACTAGTAATCAGAGAAGTGGAAAGCAAACTGAGACTGGCAACAGTTTTCAGGAATGTGACACAACACAGCCTGTAATCCTAGCTACTCAAGAAGCAAAGATCAGGAGGATCTCGGTTCAAAGCTAGCCCAGGCAAATAGTTGGCAAGACCCTATCTCGAAAAACCCATCACAAAAAAGGGTAGAGTGGCTCAAGGTGTAGGCCTTGAGTTCAAACCCCATACTGCAAAAAAAAAAAAAAGTGGCAGAGTTGCTTCAGGGCA